ACAATCCTTTATTGTATAAGATTGTTGTGGCTATCCTGGGTTTTTTGTTTTTCCATATAAAGTTGATTATTGTCTTCTCCAGATCTGTGAAGAATTTTGGTGGGATTTTGATGGGGATTGCATTGAATCTATAGATTGCTTTTGGTAGAATTGCCATTTTTACTATGTTGATCCTCCCAATCCAAGAGCAAGGGAGGTCCTTCCATTTTCTGGTGTCTTCTTCAATTTCTTTCTTCAAAGACTTATAGTTCTTGTCAAATAGATCTTTCACTTCCTTGGTCAGAGTTACCCCAAGATACTTTATGCTATTTGTGGCTACCGTGAATGGTGATGCTTCTCTGATTTCCCTCTCTGCGTCCTTATCCTTAGTGTATAGGAAGGCAACTGATTTTTTTGAGTTGATCTTGTATCCTGCCACATTACTAAAGGTGTTTATCAGCTGTAGGAGTTCTTTGGTAGAATTTTTGGGGTTGCTTATGTATACTATCATATCATCTGCAAATAATGAAAGCTTAACTTCTTCCTTTCCAATACGAATCCCCTTGATCTCCTTATGTTGTCTTATTGCTATTGCTAGAACTTCAAGCACTATATTGAAGAGGTATGGAGAGAGTGGACATCCTTGTCGTGTTCCTAATTTTAGTGGAATGGCTTTGACTTTTTCTCCGTTTAATTTAATGTTAGCTGTCAGCTTGCTGTAAATAGTTTTTATTATATTTAGGTAGGACCTTTGTATCCCTATTCTCTCCAAGACCTTTATCATAAAGGGGTGTTGAATTTTGTCGAATGCCTTTCAGCATCTAATGAAATGATCATATGGTTTTTTTCCTTCAGTTTATTTATATGGTGGATTACATTGATAGTTTGCATATGTTGAATCAGCCCTGCATCTCTGGGATGAAGCCTACTTGATCATAATGGATAATTTTTCTTATGTGTTCCTGGATTTGGTTTGCCAGTATTTTATTGAGAGTTTTTGCGTCGATGTTCATGAGTGAGATAGATTTGTAATTCTCTTTCTTTGTTGGGTCTTTGTGTGGTTTTGGTATCAGGGTAACTGTAGCTTCATAAAAGGAATTTGGCAATGACTCTTCTGTTTCTATATTGTGAAATACATTAAGGAGTATAGGTATTAGTTCTTCTTGGAAGTTCTGGTAGAATTCTGCATTGAAACCATCTGGTCCTGGGCTTTTTTTCAAAGGGAGATTTTTGATAACCGCTTCTAATTCTTCGCGAGTAAACCGGTCTGTTTATCATTCACCTGGTCTTGGTTTAGCTTTCGTACTTATTTAAAAAAATGTTCATTTCTTTTTTATTTTCCAGTTTTGTGGCATACAGGCTTTTGTAGTAAGATCTAATGATTCTCTGAATTTCCTCTGTGTCTGTGGTTATGTCCCCCTTTTCATTTCTGATCTTATTTGCGTGTTCTCTCTCTGTCGTTTAATTAGTTTGGATAGGGGTTTGTCAATCTTGTTGATTTTTCTCCAAGAACCAGCTTTTTGTTTCATTGATTCTTTGGACTGTTTTCTGTGTTTCTATTTTATTGATTTCAGCCCTCAGTTTTATTATTTCGAGTCTTCTACTACTCCTGGGTGCATCTGCTTCTTTTTTTTCTAGAGCTTTCAGGTTTGTTGTTAAGTCCCCAATGTATGCACTCTCCATTTTCTTTAAGTGGGCACTTAGTGCTATGAACTTTCCTCTTAGCACTGCTTACATTTTGTCCCATAGGTTTGAATATGTTTCCTTTATTTTCATTAAATTCAAGGAAGACTTTAATTTCTTTCTTGATTTCTTCCTTGACCCAGGTGTGGTTCAGTAGTTGACTGTTCAGTTTCCATGAGTTTGTTGGTTTTTTGGGGGTAGCATGGTTGTTGCCTTCTAACTTTAATCCGTGGTGATCTGATAAGACACAGGTGGACACTGATTTTTTTTTGTATCTGTGGAGGTTTCCTTTGTTTCCGAGTATGTGGTCAATTTTTGAGAAGGTTCCATGAGCTGCAGAGAAGAAGGTATATTCTTTCCTATTTGGGTGGAATGTTCTATAGATGTCTGTTAAGTCCATCTGCTTCATTACCTCCAATAATTCTCTTAATTCTCTATTAGGTTTCTGTCTGATTGACCTGTCCCTTGGAGAGAGAGGTGTGTTGAAGTCTCCTACTACTAGTGTGTGTGGTTTGATGTTTGCCTTGAGTTCTAGTAATATTTCTTTTACATAAGTAGGTGCTTTATATTGGGGGCATAGATATTCAGGATTGAGACGTCATCCTGATGAATTGTTCCTGTTATGAGTATAAAGTGACCTTCTCGGTCTCTTCTGATTGATTTTAGTTTGAAGTCAGTTTTGTTAGAAATTAGTATGGCCACACCTGCTCTTTTCTTAGGACCATTTGCTTGAAACACCTTTTCCCAACCTTTTACTCTGAATAGGTGCCTGTCTTTGTGGTTGAGATGTGTTTCTTGCAAACAGCAGAATGTTGGATCCTGTTTTCGTATCCAATCTTTTAGCCTGTGCCTTTTTATAGGTGAATTGAGCCCATTAATATTAAGTGATATTAATGACCAGTGGTTGTTTACTCTGGTTATTCTTATTGCTTTTGGTAGTAGAGATTGTGTGTCTCCCTTCTTTGAGATGTGCTGGTGAAGGGTCACTAGATGCCTGAGTTATTGTAGGCAGTGTTGGCAGTGTTGGATTCCTTGGGTTGCGATTTTCCTTCTATTACTTTCTGTAGGGCTGGATTTGTGGCTACGTATTGTTTAAATTTGTTCTTATCCTGGAATGTCTTGTTTTCTCCATTGATAATGAATGATAGCTTGGCTGGGTATAGTAGTTTGGGTTTGCATCCATGGTCTCTTAGCTTCTGCAGTACATCTATCCAGGACCTCTGGCTTTCATGGTTTCCATAGAGAAGTCAGGTGTAAGTCTGATAGGTTTACCTTTATAAGTTACTTGCCCTTTTTCCTTTGCAGCTCTTAATATTCTTTCTTTAACCTGTATATTTTGTGTTTTGATTATTATTGGCAAGGAGATGTTTTTCTTTTTTTGGTTTTTTAAAGACAGGGTTTCTCTGTAGCTTTGGAGCCTGTCCTGGAACTAGCTCTTGTAGACCAGGCTGGTCTTGAACTCGCAGAGATCCGCCTGCCTCTGCCTCCCAAGTGCTGGGATTAAAGGCGTGCGCCACCACCGCCCGGCAAGGAGATGTTTTTCTTTGATCCAGTCTGTTTGGTGTTCTGTATGCTTCTTGAATATTTAAGTGAATATCTTTCTTTAAGTTGGGAAAGTTTTCTTCCATAAGTTTGTTGAAAATATTTTCTGGGCCTTTGAGCTGTGACTCTTCTCCTTCTTCTATTCCTATTATTCTTATGTTTTTTTTATTGTGTCCCATATTTCCTGAATGTTTTGTGTTGAGAATTTGTTGTCTTTGCTGTTTTCTTTGATCTGTTCGTTTATTTTCTCTATGGTGTCCTCAGCATCTGAGATTCTTTCTTCTAGCTCTTGTATTCTATTGATTATGCTTGTTTCTGTAGCCTCTGCTTGTTGACCTAGATTTTCCATATCCAGCTGGTCCTCAGTTTGTATTTTCTTCCTTGCCTTCATTTCAGTTTTCAATTCTTGAACTGTTTCCATTGCCTGTTTGATCGTTTTTTCTTGGTTTCCCAGGTATCATGTACGTATTTACTCATTTCTTCAAACGTTTTGTTATACTTCTCATCCATTTCTATAAGGGCATTTTTTACATGTTGTTTAAGGGACTCTATTGTCTTCATAAAGTCAATTTTTTCCACTTCTTCTGTGTTAGGTTGTTCAAATACTTCTGTTGTAAGATCATTGGTTTCTGGTGTTTTCATGTTGTTTTTCAGATTATTGGGTGAATTCTTGCCTTGGCGCCTGCCCATCTCCTCCTATTGATCCTATCTAATGGGTCTTTTAAAAAACCGGATCAGGTTTCCCTGCTGGCCAAGGGCTCCACTTACAAAATGCCCTCGCTCTGTTTCCTGGTTCCTGCTGCAGACCAAGAACCCTCTCACCCCTCTGAAGGGTCTTCAGGACAGGACCAGGCTCCCCGTGTGCCAGTGACCTGGCCAACCAAAGGCCTACCTCTTTGATTTAATTGTAGTAGGGTGATCTGCTCTGCTTATCGCACGCCTGTCCCCACTGCTTGCGTCTGCCGCCACGCCGGTCCCCCAAAGCCTCTTCCTGAATGGTCTGGCTGCCGCGCCGCTCCACCTCTGTGTGTCTAGCTGTGGCGCCGCTCTGCCTCTGTGCGTCTGGCCGCCCCGCCGCTCTGCCTCTGTGCGTCTCCCAAATTTATTCTTCTTGGGAAATTTACTTGACATGAGACATAGCTTGTGCAAGACTTCCCTAACCTGTTTTTATCTTTTCTGCCTTATACTTTTCCTATCCTTCACATCCCCTGGAATCTCCATGTTGTAATTCTGGACAGAAATGTACCAAAATCAGGCCATCAACTCATTTAAGAGGCTAATGAAAAGCTTGTAAAAATGGAAGAAAAGTCTGACATCTCATGATCTTGTCGATGAAGATGGTCTTACTGTTTAAGGTCACTGGTTTATGTAAGAAATAATGCTGAGAAGACTTTACTGTGTAAGTATTCCATCTGTCCAGGTGGGTAGACTTGTAGCCTTCCACCCCTATTTAAATTGTTCAGAGTGTGGAGCCTGAACCTAAAAGACATAAGGATAAGAAAATATGTGAAATGCAAATTTTATTCCAGCCTGGGTCCTCTTTGAGCATTAGTCAGAGATGTATGTGAATATTATTAAATGATTTTTTGTTTATTAATCTGGCAAACATGTGGAGTGATTTCTCCCTAGGAAGTCATATTAATTCTTGAACTGCTGTACTTCTAGTATTTCAGAAAATTTTTTAACACTATCTATCTTATCTTGACATAAAAGGATTTGGTCCCTGTCTTCTCCTCTCCTTAGTAATGACCTTGTCCTACTTTACACCTTTAAAATCTTAAATGATTCTACCACAGTTTCAAAGTTATAAATTTGAGTTATGAAACTGAATATCCATTGCAGGTAACGGAAAAGGATTTGCATGTGGAGAGTGGTTTCTACCTCAGTCCAGAATAGAAGCAACAGTTTTGAGTGTGCACTGCACAGGAAAATAGGACTGCTGGAGTCCCAATTATGAAAAAAAAACCTGATTGTAGCTGGAGACCAATTTCATTACTTTCCAGCATTTGTTACTTGTTTTTTTTTATAGAGACAGACCAGACTGGTAGGTGCACTATTTGGGAAGATCAAAGAGATGCCATGTATTCACTGAAGGTGAAATATCCCAAAACATTACATGGTGATACATAGATGAATAGAAATGGATGAATTGAACATGTAAAATCTAACTAAGAATATGCCTGAGGCATTTTTAAAATGCTGATATAATTATATAGTTTATGTGTGATTATTTGGGTCTAGGCAGCCAGAAGATGAAAGTGTAGTCCCCATTTACATTAGGACACCAAATGTTTGGCAACTAAATCCACATAAACCCTAAGAAAGTTAAAAATGAGGGGTTGTAAAAGCACAAAAATGGAAGTCAAATGCAGCTTCCAATTACAAAAACACTCCTCATCAGAAAAGGATTACAGATACACAGTAAAAACATTCAGATAAAAAGGCCTCTGAGTGGGTGTGATAGTTTATTTGATAAATGTCCATGGGCTTAAGACAGAGAAGATAAATATAGACCGAGTCATGGATTCAAAATAGTTTTTAAGGAATTTACACTAAGGTTCTTAAAGAAAAAAGTAAGTAAAACAATTAATGGACCTTGAAAAGATAGAAAATACACACAGAGTCTGGGTTATACTTTGTGCTTTCTTTGAATTTTTGGACTGCAGAGAGAGACATTTGATTTGGGGCTGCTATGGTAACCCCACACATACTTTAAAGTTATCTTGACTTCAAAATTTGTTACTTTGGAAAATAGGCTCTGCTTTTGCTGCCACAGACCTTCCAGGCTAATGTTATGCCCTGGGTTTTTTGATTGAGTTGAAAACAATTATATCGTTAACGTTTTTCTTTCTTTTTTTTTAATATTTATTTATTATGTGTGTATGCCTACAGGCCAGCAGAGGGCACCAGACCCCATTACAGATGGTTGTGAGCTACCATGTGGTTGCTGGGAATTGAACTCAGAACCTTTGGAAGAGCAGGCAATGCTCTTAACCTCTGAGCCATCTCTCCAGCCCCCAACGTTTTCCTTAGTTATGGTGTGTGTAAATTATATATAAAAGTTTAGACTCACAAAGATAGGATAAACTTCACCTTAATTTGCCAGTTTTTTCTTTTCATTTATCTAGTTTTTTATCTCCAGAATTCCTTCAGCTTGTGGTTTTTTACATCCTTCTATTTCAATTTTCACTTCTTGAACTGAGTTATTCATTTCTGTCAACTGTTTGCTTGTTTGACTTTCTTTAAGGGGTTTATTATTATTCTCCAAAATTTCATTTATCTTTCCCTTTGCTTTTTTTATGATTAATAGAATGGATATTTATTTAAGGGGGGAAAACTTACAGATCACCGTCCCAGACAACAGCCCTCTGTGTAATCAGGAAGGGAGCCCAGTTGCCAAAAGCAGAGCCGGAAGCCAGAGAGTGAGCTGAGGGAAGTAGCAGCTTTTTTAAAGGGAGAGATGTCGATTGCCTTTGGGTGGGCTACTCAGTCTAGGTAGGGGTTGTAACCCACCCTGCAATCTGTTATTCCAGGGTCCCGGAGAGGCACCACCTGGAAGACATGGGCTAGGAAAGAGGAATGAGGCTAAGCGAGAATTCTTGTCAAAGCCTCCGTTTATTAGAGACGGGGTACAACTTTTATAGGGTAAAGAGTTGGGGGGTGGGCACAGGGGCCTGGGCTCTTGCCGCGTGGTTCACGTTGGTCACATGGTCCGAGTTGGTCACGTAGGCAGGAGGTTGTCTTCGGTCAGGTCACTGTAGGCCAGGAAGTCGCGAGTTGACACACCTAGATCCCTAGATAGTTTGGAATGTGGGGTGGGTTCCGCTAACAGATAGCTCTCATTAACAGCCAATTTGGGTGTGGGGTAGGCTCTGTCAATAGAACTATTCCTAACACAATTAAGGGTGTGGGGTTCTCTGCAGACTCTCCAGGGTGATGGTTCCTGCAATGATTTTAGGAGGAAATTGGCTCCTAACAGAGAGAGAGCCAGGCGGTGGTGGTGCACAACTTTAATCTCATCACTCTGGAGGTAGAAGCAGGTGGATCTCTGTGAGTTCGAGGCCAGCCTGGTCTAGAAGAGCTAGTTCCAGGACAGGAACCAAAAGCTACAGAGAAACCCTGTCTCTTAAAATCAAAAAAAAAAAAAGGGAGAGAGACCACGCTCCAATGGTCTGGTATCTCATCGGCTATTGGCTGAAGGAGCAAAATGAGCTACCGCAACACGTGTATCTTTGTCTTAAACAAAATTTGCAAGATATCTGATGTATTTTCCTATAGGATATATAATTTCATTTTTGTCAAATATTAATTGCTATATCATTAAACCTTTTTTGTAAGGTTAATGAACTATACATATCTCACAAACTATGAATGGAACGGGTGTTATCATCACATTTAGTTCTGACTAGTATCCTTCTTTTTATATCTTCTCTTTCTATAACCAATAGACACACACAATATAAGGTTAACTTAAATATAATAAATGAGAGCTAATTTTAAATAAACCTGAGATTTAGAAGTAACTTGAAGGGGATGTACTAGACAGGTGCCAACTAGAAGACCAGAGAGCACACCCAGCATTGCCACTGATCTGTTCGAGCAGCTAATGTGGGATATTCAGTTTCTTTGATTGTATAAAGCAAAGGTGGTTATTATATCACTTATTTCCAATCTATTGAGTTTATTGTTTTTTAACTTGTAGTTTCACTATAACATTGCCTATTATTTTAGGTAACTTCTCTGATCTTACATCATATAAACTGAAATTCATAATAATATTTATTGTAAACATTATCTATTGAAATGATGTGGGATGAAACTCAAAGAATATGATACTTCTAAAAAAAAACATAACTCAGCCGGGCGGTGGTGGTGCAGGCCTTTAAACTCAGCATTCAGGAGGCAAAGGCAGGTGGATCTCTGTGAGTTTGAGACCAGCCTGGTCTATAAGAGCTAGTTCCAGGATGGACAACAAAGGTACAGAGAAACCTCATCTCGAAAAAAACAAAAATAAATGAATAAATAAAATCAACAACAACAAATAAAAACATAACAAAGAATGTGCTACTACTTAAAAAACATGCAACAATACAAAGCCAGTGTTGAGATCACTACAGTTTGATTGGGGGAACTGAAATTATGGTTTACTAATTGTTCTTTTTTTTAATTTATTTTTTATTGAAAAAAAATTTCGGCCTCCTCCCAGCCTCCCATTTCCCTCCCACTCCTCTCCCCCTCCCTCTCCAGTCTGAAGATCAGTCAGGGTTCCCTGCCCTATGGAAAATCCAAGGTCCTCAACCCTCCATCCAGGTCTAGGAAGCAGAGCATCCAAACTGGCTAGGCTCCCACAAAGCAAGAACATGACATAGGATCAAAACCTAGTGCCAATGTCCTTGGCTTCTCATCAGTCCTCATCATCTGCCATGTTCAGAGAGTCCGGTTTTATCCCATGCTTTTTCAGTCATAGTCCAGCTGGCCTTCGTGAGCTCCCAATAGATCAGCCCCACTGTCTCAGTGGATGGGTGCACCCCTCATGGTCCTGATTTCCTTGTTCATGTTCTCCCCCCTTCTGCTCCTCATTGGGACCTTGGAAGCTCGTTCTGGTGCTCCAATGTGGGTCTCTGTCTCTATCTCCATCCATCGCCAGATGAAGGTTCTATGGTGATATGCAAGATATTCATCAGAATGGCTAAGGATAAGGCCATTTCAGGTTCCCTATTCTCAGCTGCCCAAGTAACTAACTGGGGACATTGCGCTGGGCACCTGGGAGCCCCTCTAGGTTCAAGTCTCTTGCCAACCCTAAGATGGCTCCTTTAGTTAAGATATATGCTTCCCTGCTCCCCTATCCACCCTTCCTTTATCCCAATCACCCCGTTTCCCCAAGTTCCCCCCATCCTCCCCTTCTCACTTTTCTCTCCCCATCTCCCCTTACCCCCATCCCACCCCACCCCCAAGATCTCAATTTTTTGTCCGACAATCTTGTCTACTTCCCATATCCAAGAGGATAACTATATGTTTTTCTTTGGCTTCACCTTCTTATTTAGCTTCTTTAGGATCACAAGTTATAGACTCAATGACCTTTATTTATGGCTAGAACCCAATTATGAGTGAGTACATTCCATGTTCATCTTTTTGGTTCTGGGTTACCTCACTCAGGATAGTGTTATCTATTTCCATCCATTTGCATGCATAATTCGAGAAGTCATTGTTTTTTACCACTGAGTAGTACTTTAATGTGTATATATTCCATACTTTCTTCATCCATTCTCCCATTGAAGGACATCCAGGTTGTTTCCAGGTTCTGGCTATTACAAATAATGCTGCTATGAACATAGTTGAACAAATGCTTTTGTCATATGAGAGGGCATCTCTTAGGTATATTCCCAAGAGTGGTATTGCTGGGTCCTGGGGTAGGTTGATTCCGAATTTCCTGAGAAACTGAAACACTGATTTCTGAAGTGGTTGCACAAGATTGCATTCCCACCAGCAATGGATGAGTGTACCCCTTTCTCCACAACCTCTCCAGCAAAGGCTATCATTGGTGTTTTTTATTTTAGCCAGTCTGACAGGTGTAAGATGATATCTCAAAGTTGTTTTGATTTGCATTTCCCTGATTGCTACGGAGGTTGAGCATGACCTTAAGTGTCTTTTGGCCATTTGAACTTCTTCTGTTGAGAATTCTCTATACAGTTCAATGCCCCATTTATTAATTGAGTTAATTAGCATTTTAAAGTCTAGTTTCTTGATTTCTTTATATATTTTGGAGATCAGATGTTTGTCTGTTGCAGGGTTGGTGAAGATCTTCTCCCAGTCAGTAGGTTGTCTTTTGATCTTAGTGACAG